AATAGAACTAAGCCCATCCCCTGGTCGCTAGAGAGTTTGTAAGTAATCAATGCCAAAGAAAGTGGGAAATTAAAAGACTCCCCAGTCTTGTCTACTGAAAAGAAAGGATAAAGAGGGTTGGGAGTTCCACGTGCAGTTTTCGAGCCAGTAAGTGCTCAGACCAGGGCTGGAGGTAGCCTGGCTTCTGCTCTCCAATTGCCGCTGGACTGATTTCCCTCACGATGTAATCTTGTTATCCTGCGGTTACACCGGACCACGTAAATCAATCCTTTGTTCTCCAACAAGACAAACACCCTCTTGCCTGCCCTTTTCTGCTTTTATAAAAAAAATCATCACAGTATTTTCTGCTTTAGCCTGAATATGCTTTTATGAGAAAAAAATTAGGAACCCAAAGGCATATCTTGCACATTCTCCAAAGAAAACAATGTCCTGGGTTCTGAGTTGTTTGTGCGCCTTGCCTAAACTCTTTGAAAACCCTGAAAATTATACTATTTCTTTCTTTCTCTTTTTTGTAAGCAAAGTGACTCATTGTAGCTGAGGCTTTCCGTATAATAGCCCCCATTCTAGGGCTTCAAAGAGAGTAGCCGCTCACTTCAAAGATGCCTTTTAATTTGTCCTTTCTTAAGACACTATCAACTTAGTGAACCTGAATACAGTGTGTTGGGTAAAGCACTCAACTGGGAGTTAGGGTTCTGGATTCTAGAAGCACTCTGTGCTACCTTGCTGTGTGACCTCAGGGAAGTCACTTTCCTCTCTGGGCTTCAGTTCCTCACTTGCAAAGTGAATGGATTGGACTGGATCAGCCTTCCCAAAATTTAGTCATTCAAGTACCGCTTTCAGTGATTTTTGCCACAACCTTATATTATCTGTTTTATTGTTAATATGCTATTTTTGGCTGATTTTTAAGTACCGGCATGTGCTGTATAACGACATTTGGGTCAAGAAAAAAGTGCATATATGAGGGTGGTCCCATAAGATTAGTACCATGTAGCCTGGGTGTGTAGTGGGCTGTACCATCTAGGTTTGTGTAAGTATATTCCACCATGTTCCCTGACAAAGAAATTGCCTAACAACACATTTCTCAGAACTTATCCCTGTTGTTAAGCGATGCATGACTATACATTTCTTTTATAAATACATTTTATATTGCTATTAAAAATGGAAAAACAATTTTGTGTCCCCCAAGTAGAAGAGAAACTAAAAAATAAATACAAGGAGGACAAAGCTCTTATATTCCAGTCAGATACTGTTGACTGCCGAGTCACGGGCGCTCGCTTTGGCTGAGTGCTCTGTGCCAAGCCTTCCTATGCTGTTCCTCATTCAGTCCTTGCGGTAACTCTGTGAAAGAGGGGCTGTTATTCTCCCCATTTTACAGATAAGGAAACTGAGCCACGGGGAGGTTGAGTAACTTGCCTCAGGTCCCAGGGTCAGTGTGGGCCTTAGCTGAGATTTTAACCCAAGTGAGCCGAGCCAGGGAGCCTGCCGATGCGGGCCAGCTCTCTCTTTGTTAAAAAAGGGAGACGAGGCTGGCCCCGTGGCCGAGTGGTTAAGTTCTCGCGCTCCGCTGCAGGCGGACCAGTGTTTCGTCAGTTCGAATCCTGGGCGCGGACATGGCACTGCTCATCAAACCACGCTGAGGCAGCGTCCCACATACCACAACTAGAAGGACCCACAACGAAGAATGTACAACTATGTGCCGAGGGGCTTTGGGGAGAAAAAGGAAAAAAATAAAATCTTTAAAAAAAAAAAAAAAAAAGGGAAACGAGCTTGTGTCAGAGGGTGTTAAAGGCACACCAGCTCTGAAGGAGAGTTTCTCCCTGATGTAATCGGAAGCTGTAAAAGGGAATCAAAGAGGACAATTTGCTCGCCAGGTCATTCACTATCTTCTACCCCTTAACTCGTCCCTGTGCCCGTCATCTCGGATGTCCACCTGACTGAGAAAAGTTCTGTTCTGTTCTGTGTTTTGCTTGCTCTGTACCTAAACCCTTATCTTACTCATTTTCAATGGTTGAGTATCATATTTGGCCCCTGGTTATTTTTCTTAAAATAAATTTTAGAAGAAAGGCACAAAATGGGATTTTTCACCCGAGGCCGCTCCCCTCCGTTAGGAACACAAAGGGAGTCTGAGATTAGCTGCAATCAGCTGTGTCCCTATAATGTTGCAATAATGACCTGGAGTATCTTTTAATAGCAGTTAGCACATCCTGGAGGACCAGTGTGGCTCCTGGGCAATTGGCATTCACGTCACTCAACATCCCTCTTTCACCTTGGGTTCCTGGGGGACCCAGGGCAGTGGCTGGTGGCAGCAGGTAGGAGTGGGGGGACGCGGGTGGGAGGCAGGCAGGGATGGGCATGCAGCCTCAGGACCATCTCTGGAGCAAGTGTGGTGCTGAGTTGAGACTGCAAGCCTGACTCATAAGCGGGCCCGGGGCCAGAGGCATGAAAAGTTGATCCAAACATTTGTGCAAAGTGCTTCCCTGATGTGAGATAAAGGGCCCCCATCAATGTGACGCGTTCCCCGTGTTCTAGGAGAAGCAGTGTCGAAGGCAGCTGGCAGGTGCAGTGGCCTGGAACTTCCTGTCAGAAGTGCGAGTCTTTCCCGCTGCCCCAGCCCTCACACCCTGGGTGGCTTCTCCCAGAGTCTGAGGAAGGGGGTCATGGGGTGGCGGTGTGGCAGCTGATTTCACAGCGCAGGGGCTGCAGACCTATTCTGACGTTTGCCTTAATAATCATACCAAGAACAGTTACGGAGCCCATGCTGTGTGTCGGGCCTTGGGCTAAATACTTAACGCGCATTATCACGTTTAATCCTCTCAGCAATTCTATGGGGTCAGTGCAGTGATCATCCCTCTACTGGGGATGCAAACACTGAGCTTGGAGCAGCCAAGTAACTGGGAACTGGTGAAGCCAGCGTTTGAAGCCAGCCAGTCTGGCTTCAGAGCCAAGCTTTTAAGCCCTGCGATATGCACAAAGAAAGGGTTTATTGGATAGATCTTTGGCGGCTCGCAGGATGGAAAGGAAAGGAATGTCGGGTGGGACAGGAACCAGGGCTGATCTGGGGCTGTTTCTTTAGGCCACTGCCATTCGTGACTCAGCTCTAACCAGCCTTCGGCAGTGGATGACATACCAGCAGCTGCTTTTCTGGTCTGTGGTTTGGAGGGGCAGCTGATCATAGAATGTGCTGTGTTTTATTACACTCTGCTCTGGGCTCAGCTCTGGGGTTGGAGGTATAAGGACTGAGGGCTGTGTGACCTCGGCCAAATAATTTAACCTCTCTGGGCCTTAGTCTTCTTATTTGTAAAATAGGGGCAAAAATAGTACCTATCACAGAGGAATGTTGCAAGAATAAAATGAGTAAATATTTGCCAAGTGTTTAGAATAGTGTTTGGCACTCAGCAAGCACCATAGAGTGACTGTCAGTAAAGGAAGGGTGGCTGGTGGGACCCTGACAGCTGTGGATCCCGAACACTCTCCCCTTAGACTACGCTGTCAGCTCACCCTGAGGAATGTGACTGCTTTGCGGCATTGCCCTCTAGAGAACCTTGCTACTCAAAGTGTGGTCCATGGATCAGCAGCGGCAGCAGCATCCGTGAGCTTGTTTGAAATGCAGAAACCCAGGCCCCCTCTTAGACCTACTGAGTCAGTCTCTGCACTTACTGAGACCCCCAGGTGATTTATAGACACAGTCAAGGCTGAGAAACACAGCTTTAGAAACTTTAAAAGCAAACAAAAGAAGAAGAAAAAAAGCTAGAATCTCCTCTTTCCTGGAGGTTCAGTCAAAGCATGTGCTTTGGGTTTCCCAAGCAGGAAACTTTAAGATAATAATAATTCACATGTTGGTAGCACTTCACACTAAAGGGCCTTCACATCCACTTTTTGCCTGCTTTGCAGGACCGCCCTTTACGGTACACAGAGCTGCCAATGTTATTTCCATTTTACACGTGTGAAAGCTAAGGCTCAGAGCCTTCAGTGATTTTCCAGAGTTACCCTGCCGCCAAATGTCAGAGCCAGGAGTCAAGCCCAAGCCTTCTGTGTCCTAATTCAGGGCTTGTTGCAGTTTCCACACTGTTCATCAATGACGAGAACATCATTGCCCATCATTTCTCCTTCTCAGTGACCCACACGCAGCCTGTCACCACGTCCCATAACTCTGTCCCAACAGGATGACTTGGATTCAGCCTCTTGTTATGATCACCCTGGTTCCAGCCTCAGCTAAGCTCTTATAATAGTAATTACAATATTAGTTGTTGCATATGGAGACTCATTCTGCTAAGATTTTTCATTGTGTTAATTAACTCATTTAATTCTCCCTGCCACCCAAAGAGATGGTGATACGTATTATTATCACCATCCTATCACAGGTGGTGAAACTCAGGCTCCAAGTGAGAAAGTGGTCCAAGATAGCTTGTTCGACAGGTATGATTTGAATGTGAGAAGCTGGGCGTGCCTCAGTTTCTGCACCAGCTTCTGAGCTGGTCTGTCCATCCTTGGTTGGCTCTCCAAGTCTTTGTCACATGGGCTCCTGTCTTCCCTCCCCTTCCTGCTGCCCTCCCCAGGAAGCCTTTTCTTGAATAGCACGTTCCAGGGAAGCTGCCTTCTTTTTGCATTTCACAGCACTTGGAAATATCCATCACACTTTCCTGTAAATTACTCATTTGATTTCTTGTCATTCTCATGAGAGTGTGCGCTCCCTGGAGGCAGGGGCCGTGTCTCCTTGATCCCAGTACAGAGTAGGTGCTCAGCAAATGTTTATGGAATGCACACAGCTCGTTGCATGCGTTTGGTTTCTTCACCTAGGCAGCCATCATATAAAGAGAGCATCCAAAACAGCTTTTGTATTCCCCACGGCACATAAAGGAGTTCTGGAACCGTGTAGATGGCTCATATTTATTGATACGAAGCCATGTGTCCCCCTCAGTTATTCATTCACTCAACGAGCATTCATTGAGGGCTGAACAGACACTGGTATTTAGTCCTCTGCGGTTCTTATCTCCGTCTAGGACAAAGTGAGGTGAGGCGGTTATCATCACCCTGCTTGTCACCACCAGGATCCTGCTGGAGATTTCCGGCCAAGGAGGGCCCATGGTAAGGAGACACTCTACATCAGATGACATCTTGGACACAGCTCGAGATCCTGTGTGATCGGTGGTTCCCCAGGTCACAGACTGAGTCCGGGCTCATGTGTCAGGCAGAGGCCCTTAGGGAGGCCAGAGCTTGTCCCCTTCCCAGCTCCTTGGCAGAAACCAGTGCCAATAAACTACAGGAGGAATTTCTGCCTTTGAGTCATGAGCCAACCTAGTGGCTGCTACAGATCAGCTAAGAGAATAAGTCACCCAACCTCCTGTGGTTCGCCCCAGAGCTGGCGCCACAGTGGGAGCCGGGCAGATCTTCCTAGGAGGGCTGGGAGTGCCAGAGATAACAGCTGAGCTCAGGTGAAAGCCTTCTGGATGGGGACACCAGGCTTGAGGGGCCGTGAAGAGCTCTTTCATCTCCAATCCACCCCGTGCCTTGTCATCTACCTGCTGAGAGGCCACAGCTTACTGGAAAGAATCTCCCCGTTGGGTAAATTCATGTAATGTGGGTGGGCAGGGGCCCTCTGTTCTGCTCCACCAGGTGAGAAGATCCTTCTGGTTGATTAGCTGTGAAGGAGTTGGCCTGTGGTCATCCTGCCTTGCAGTCCAGTACTGGGAGGGCTAGTTCCACTCACCACCCACCCTTTGCAAGAGTCCCGTTCTTGTCTTCCCAGACTGAACCCAGTTGAATTTCCATGGATGTGTGAGCAGTTCTACCATGAAGGTCTCAGGAGAGCGCCTTCAAGCAGCACAGGGAGAAAGAGGGGAGGGCTTGTGGACGTAAGGAAGGGGAAGAGTCTCCTAATGTTGGCTTTTGGGAAACGTCCCGCCAGATTCCCTACTTCCTGCCTTTCAATCTTTTTGGTACCCCCTACCCCTTCCCCAGTCCCTCTTCAAGTTGCTCTCTTTCCTCTGATCCTCAGCTCCTCCCACAGGGATGCCCCTCCCGACAGAAGGTTCTGAGCCCCAGGGATGCGAACCTTCCTGCAAACGACAGTAGGGTCAGGCTCAGGTGGGAGGTGGGGGTGTGTAAGGCATCAAAGTGACTGGTGAGGCAAAATGATTTATTGGAATATTCATTTGTTTTTGAGCTTCCTCAAGTCTCTTCTTCCTCCTCCATTTTAAGCTGATGGCTTGGCCTTTTTGGGTTTCTTGCTTTACGGATTCCTGTCCACAGAAGCAGCCTGCAGCCCACAGCTCGTCTGCACCTTGTGAAGAGATACTGACATTGAACCTGAAGTGAGTTCACTCATCTGTTGCGCAGCAAGCCAATCTCTGACACTGGGTGTAGTGGAAGAAAGTGGGAATTTTATTATTGCAGAGTGCTGAGCAAGGAGAGAGGGCAGCTAATGCTGAAACCCCACACTCCCCGAAAAGCTAAAAGGAAGGGTTTTTATTTGGGATTTTATGTAGGGGAGGGGGAGCATATGGCCTTGCTGGTCAGAGCTTTTCTACCAGCCTGTCTTTGGCCTTGAGACTACTTGCAGAGAGGAGGGAGCCCATGAACTTGCTGGTTAGCAGCTTTCCCACTAGCCCGTATCTCTTTGTGGGGAGGAGATAATGAATCCAGGTGCTTATCCTTGGCAGTGTCTGTCTCCATGGAGGATAGCGGATTCTGGAGCCAGGAAGCCAGGGAGCAAGCAGGGAATGAATGTTTTGGTTTTAACCCCATATATGCTGGGTTTAATGTAGGGAAACTGATATTAGGGCTGGCGTCAACACCATTAGGTGTCCTTGAGGGAGGAGAAAAGGAGGCAATGAGCAAGTCTCCTCTGGAATGGAGAGGGAAGAGAGATCTGGGGCTGGGGCAGACTGGTGTAGGGAGCAGGGGATGCATGTCCTAGGCACATTTTTGAAGAGTGGAGCTTTCTGCTCTGTGTGGAGGTCCTATGGGACATGTGGACCGGCACACCTTTCTGTGGCAGCTCCCTAAGGAGATGAGGAGACCTGGTGGGGATGGCAGCTTGGTGCTCTGAGGAAAGCAGGACCCTGGGCCTGGTGACTTGGGTCATGGCAGAGTTCTGTGCCCTATGCAGGTCATGGAGAGAGTAGGGCTGCTGTGTTTCAATGGGTCACTGCAGGGGTGGACCTTGGTGACATTGGTGGTTTCCACGTTAGGCTGGAGGTTACAGACCCTTTTTCTGTTTCTGAAGCATCACATGATTGTATGGTGTTTATTCATGACGGGGAGGGGAGACAGGTGCTCCAATAAAGCCTCTCCCCCTCCATCTCCAGGCTGGCAGGTTGAGGGCTCGGAGTAGGAAATAAACTGATTTTCAAAAATAAAGAAGCTGATATGCCTTTCAGTCTTGGGTTTAAGGCCTGCAACTTGTCCTTGCCTCCTTGATTCCAGGGTACAGACTCATCCAAGGAAGGGAGGATCTTTTCCTTTGACATTATTTCCTTTACAACTTGTACAATCCTCTATTCCTTTGGCATTTCCATTTATTCATTCATTCCATAAATATTAATGGAAAGTCTGCAATTTGTTAGGTACTGGGTTGAATGCGGAGGATTCAGTGGTGAACAAAGCCGGCCCCTGGCCCCACGGACCCTATAGTCTCACCAGGGAGACATATATTCATCAAATAATTCTACAAATATTTATATATACATATGTACACCTGGATAAAGACTGAAAGGAAAACAGATGCCGCTATGAGGGTGAGTAGTAATAGATCTGATACAGTCTGGAGCGGGGTTGGAAGTGGAGGGGGGTCAGGAAAAACAGAGTGATGTTTGAGTTGAACTTTCAAGTCTAGCTGAGGTGTGTGTGTTTGTATGTGTGAATGTGTGTGCAAAAGTGAGCATGCCTGTATATGTATGTACATGTATATGCATGCATGGAGTATTTCACTGAGAGGGAAGAACTTTCTAGAAGGCCTTGGGGTGGGGGAAAGAGCGCAGTGCCTTTAAGGAACTGAAAGAAGTCTGTGTGGTTGCTGGAGGTGAGGCCAGGAAGGGGGAAGCAGCAAGGTCCCCTGAGGCCTTCGAGACTGGATTGGGCGGTTTGGCCATTGTCTTAAGAGTAATGGGAGGCAGTGAAGGGTTTTAAGCCTGGAGGTGCTAGGATCTGATTTACATTTTAAAAAGATTGTTCTGACTGCTGTGTTCAGCAAGGACGCAGAGAAGGCAAGAGCCACACAGGGAGACCAGAATTTTAGAAGGAGGTAGATCAGGCTGTAATCATGAGGGAAGGAAGATGTTTAAAACATTAGGAAGTGAAAAACAAGACAAAAACAAGTTGCAGAAGCATAAGTATGATTTTATTTGTAATTTTAAAAAGAAGAGGCATATATATACGTGTGTGTATTCTGCATATATATATTCACACCATAGACTTTTGTGCAGATATAGCTTGTTTCCAGCCCTTTGCTATTGCTGACACTTCATTATAAAATGGAAAACAATCCTGGACTTGGGGCCCACAGGCTCGGGCTACTGCTCCTAATTGCTGACTCTGGGCACATCATTTAGCTTCTCTTGCCTTAGTTTTCTCATCTGTAAAATGAGGGTGTAGGGGAGGAAGACATTTCCTCTACCTGCTCTGGGTTCTTCTGGCCAGAGAACGAATTAAATTCACATGAGACAAAATAACAGGAGAAAATTAAACAAAGCTTTATAACATGTATACATGGGAGAGGCTCAGGCAACCTGAGCAACTCTCCAAAATGGCTGAAGCCACCACCTTAAATATTCATCTTTAGCCCAAGACAAAGGAGGACATTGATGGGGCTGGGGGAGGGGAGAGTCGATCATGGGAGATTACCACACAAGTACGGTAAACAAGAGTCAGATTATTATGCAGACTTGAGTCCTTGCCTTCCACATTGATGAGAGTTTCTAGAGATAAGGTCATTCCTCCTTCCTGGTACAGAGATGGAGACACCTTTACAGATGGAGATTTTCTTTGCAATGTAAATGTCTCTTAACCAAGGGTAAGTAAATTCTACTTTTCAGAGTTTCTTTCCTGTCTGCAGTTTTTAAAAGTAACCAGCCCAAAATATTCCTCATGCCAAAGAGACATATCTTGGGGTGGCCAATTCCAGTCCCCCACAAGGGTATTGGGCCTGATGAGCTCTAGATGTGAATTCCTTCTTCTTCTAGATGCTGGTAACTCCAGGCAGAAGGAAAGTGCAAAGGAGAAGGGAGGCAGCACACATTATGCAGGCAAGTTGTGTAACCCCAGCACTATTTCAGCAGTGCAGAGTTAGGGTGACATTCCAGAAGAGACTGCAGGACTGCAGGGAGTGAGAACATCTTCCAGGGCAGCCTGACAGTAGGAGGAGTGGGCAGCTGTCTCTGTGCTGTGATTTACTGCCTGCCTGGACCAAAATAGCCCCATCTCCTGGCCTGCTCCAGGAAGTCCTTCCTGGTAAACATGAAATCCACTTACCCGCGACTGGTGCTAGATGTGCCTCAAGCTATTCCCCTCCAGGGTCCCATGAGCCCAGAGGAAGTAATTATACTGGTGGAAAGAAGGGGACCAGAGGGAGGAGGACTCAAGGCCTAGCCAATTTTGAGAAGAGGAGACTTGGAGGCACCTCCTCCCTTATGACTGGCTGGATTGGGGTGAGGGTGTATGCAGCTTTGGGAGCAGGGAGAGGGTATTACTTACGTAAGGCTGTACGTTGAAACACAAGTTTGCAGGATGCAAATTATTATTCAAAATGGAGATTCTATGGCCCAATTAGTTGGAGAAACACAGGCTTAACCAAAGTTGAACAGGTTTTCCGCTATAGGACTTCTTAGAGCTATAGTAAGCTAACTTCATCATGAATCCTTGAGGAGGAGAAAAATAATATACGGTGTATCGACTGTTTTTGAAAAGAGCACTTTCCAAGAGAGATATTTCCCAGATCACACTATCGGATCAATAGACTAGGCCGTCAGTCTGGTTGTGGGGAAGGGGGCCTGGGTCTGACTTCCACCTGAGCACCCAGCACCTAGACACTGATGGGTCCATGGGGAGCATGTGATAGTTATTGAACTGAAAACTTCCAAACAAATTTTGCTTATTTTAAGATGTGGTTGGGGATACACATTGGATGCCTAAATTCCCTTGTGTTATGGACTGAATGTTTGTGTCTCCTCAGATTCGTGTGTTGAAATCCAAATCTCCAATGTGGTGGTGTTAGGAGGTGGGGTCTTTGCCAGGTGCTTAGGTCATAGGGTAGAGCCCTCATGAATGGGATTAGTGCTGTTATAAGAGACACAAGAGCTTGCTCTCTCTCTCTGCTCCCCACCATGTGAGGATGTAATGAGAAGAAGGACATCCACAAACCAGGAAGTGGCTCTCACCAGACACTGGATCTGCCAGTGCCTTGGTCCTGGACTCTCCAGCCTCCAGAACTGTGAGAAATAAATTTTGGCTGTTTAAGCCACTCAGTCAATGGGAATTTGTTATCGCAGCCCAAACTAAGACACCATAAAACGCTTCTTAGTTCTCGTTGTGTGGGTCTTCTGTTAATATCAGTAGGAGGACCCTAATAAACTTCACTCAGAAAGTTTTCCTCATTAACTTTGAGAGATTTGTTCTTTATTCCTCAAAAAGATTCCAGTGTGCATCTATTGAAGGGTAAATTAATTACCTGAATGTTAGGAGACCTGAATTCAAGCTCCACTGATAGGTATGAAATAGCTACGCTAACTAGCTAGTCGCCTAAAGTTTTAGGTCCTCAGTTTCCCCATGTATGAAGGATTTTGTATTAGTCAGCTTTGCAGTGGCAACAAATAGTCCCCCAATCTCAGTGGCTGACAATAACAAAGGTCCACTTCTTGCTCATGTTCCATGTTGACTATGGATGAGTTCTCTCTCTGTGCCAGAAACTGGGAATCTTCATTCCAGGCCCAGGTTGGAGGGGCAGCCCTGGAGGGGGTGGACTGAGTTAGGTAATGGCTCTTAAAGCTTCTGCTGCAAAGGGCCTACTTCATATCTGCTCGCACCCCATTTTCCAAAGTAAGCCCTATGGCCAAGCCTAGCATGGACAGGACAGGGAAGTATGCCCCTTCCATGGGAGGGCACCGAAAGTCAGATGACAGCAGGAAGACACCTCACCCCTTTACCGGGGATCACTGTAAATACGGATACAGTGTGTCACTAGATGGTATTTAAGCTCCTTCAGCTCTAGCTTTAGCATTCCTAGTTTCCTCCTAGAGCAGAACTTTGGAGAACTGGTTTTTAATGGAATTTAATGAAACAGAGATAGGTGCCCACTTGCTGGCAGTTGGCCACAAAATTCTAGAATGGGATTTTTGCAAAGACAGTGACGAGCAACTGGATTAAGGAGTGGTGGCTGTGATTCAGCCCGGTTCTCTAAGACTCCTGCCAGGTATATCTCAGCTGGTTTTAGAGGTGTCGTGAGGCTGGTGACTCTGGAGAATGACATACGCAGTGAGTCTGGGTTTCAGCAGAACTTCAGTAGCATCTTTTTGGGATGAGATGAGATATGTGACTAGGATGGTTTATTTTTTGGCTGAGTGAGCAACTATATTTGGAACAGAAGAATGAAGAGGTTGATAGTTGGCTCGGGGCTTTGCGCTCAGGCTTCACCCATTTGGCCCAGACTTTAAGCAACATTTGGGTTGGACAACAGTTCATCATATCTGTCCCTGATGCTGAGCTGGGAACGGTAATGAATGCAGGGTGTGGTGGAACTGGGATCCCCAAATGCTCATCATGGGTAAGAATCATGGTTAAAACCAGCAGATTGAAATTGAACAGGAGTAAATATGGAGGGACAGTATTTAGATTCCAATAATCAATTACATAAAGAGACTATTAGGGAGATGCGACCTGATAATTGTCCTTCTGCTGAAAGATTATAAACCCTGGAAGTCTGGTTGAGAGTAAGTTTAAAATGAGCTAATATAAAATGACTCCTAAAAATACAGTGTGGCTAATAATTTTAGATTTTATTAATAAAAGTATAAAGAAGCCTAATTTCAAGTTCATGGACTTGGTTGGGTCAGCAGCATTAGAGAGGGAGAGAGGAACGAAGGGAGAAGGAGGGAGAGAGAGAGAAAAAAAAAGAACTTGAATTGTACAGAAGCCTTGCCTGCCTTGCCACTCAATGAGTATGTGTGCCTGCGGCTAAGTGTTGGGATTTGTTAATCTGATATTCTCTTTGCTAGTTTTCTTTCCTTTGTGTCTCTCTGAGCACTTCCCTGCGTTGAGTCTGGTTCTACTCTACGTAGGCACATCTTATAATACCATGTGTTAAAGCACGAGAGGCTCCCTAAATGCAAGCAATTGATTTGTGATCAAGCAAAGAGCAATGATCTGGTCCAGCACTGGTGGATTTCTTGAGAGGTGATAATGCTGTTCTCCAAAGTGGCACCTCTTTTCCAGGGTGATTTAGGTGGCACTCAGTTTTCGCCTTGTGTGCTGATTTTAGAGTCCACTTTCTATGTGAGCTATGACTCCGCTCTATAGTGTCAGGATTGATGGGTGTGATGGCTCTGCTCTAAGTTGAGAGGGATGCTCACAAGGAGGAGGGTGAAATGGCATTCAAAGAACAGTTGAGGGAACTGGGATGTTTTGCCTGTAGAATGGAAGCTTGAGAGGATTGTGAGAACTGTGTTTGCTTATCTGAAGGGCTGTAATGTGCCTGGATATGCTCCTCCTGTATTGTAGCAGGAATAGATTCAGACATAGTCCGTGGAAGTTATACATGACCTGATGAAGTGATGATTTTTCTAGTAATTTAGGACAAGGAGTGGAGTAGATCACCCTCACAAGGTAGTAAGCTCCCTGTCCCTTGAGGTAACCCAGCAGGAACTGGACGAGCACATGTCTGAGATGTTCATAGGCAGCTTTTGTTTCGTCAGGAAGCTTCCATTCCTCCTTCTTTTGGTTAGCGTACCTATTTTCCTCTAAGAACTCCTGATAAGAACTCCACTCACAATCCATGTGTTTTGGGCGAAGTGATGTTGACTCCATCCTTGGCTTCAGGAATGAGCCTGTGGGATTCAGGCCTGGCATCTCACCCTTCTGGCTGTAGTGATTGGTTAGGGGTAGGCACATGAC